TGGTGTATGTGGTTTGCAGTGGTCTGAGCTCAATTGTGATGAACTTCTGTGCATACATTCAGGATCGAGAAACATTTGAATCTAAATCTTATAACAGGTGGAGAGTTTTCTGCTTGTGCTGCAAAGGCTCTGTCAATGCATGAGTTTCTGAGCATTAAAACCTTGATCAACAATAACCAGGGTGTTTTTTTTTAAAGAATAATGTGTTGATGTTCATTTAGAAATGAATATTTAGTTTTGCAAGGAAATGGTTAATATTAAGAAACAGCTTTTCAGGATGGAGCAGGTAGCAAGACATCATCTGAACATTAGGTATGTAACACATTTAGCATGTGATGAATTCACATACTGTAGGTGCCCACATTTTACACAAAGAAAAAAACATTCAAAAAGGAGATGTAATTGTACTTTTCAGTAAGGGAGTGCTTGCTTGTTCTTAAACATCTAAACAGGGCCGCCCCTGGCCAACTTGTGGCCCCACGCAAAGTTGCCGCGCTTACACTGTAGGTGTGCTGCATTTGCGCTTCAGATGAGGCCCCCTCCGCGAGGTGAGGCCCCACGCAGTCTGCGTGATCGGCCTGTAGGGAGGGGCAGCCCTGCATCTAAATGTACAACCTTTTCTTCATGTTATATAGGCCTAACTGCACTAGTCTGTGTGTGTTGTTTATAACATAAGGAACCGGCCAAATAAATAATTGCTTCATAAACAAAGTGTGTCTTGTTTGGACATTCAGAGTTTTTACCTGTGTTTAAAAAAGTATTTTCAGGGCTTTTAATTACTTTTTTGGGAACAATTGTCTTCTCTGTTTCAAAGGAAATCATTTACAGTTTAAAAAAAGTTACGGCTTGAAACTGTGAGGGGGAATATTCCCACTGATGGATGGTGTTTGTGATTCATTGAGCCCATATCCTCTCTGTCTGTTACATTACTCATTCAGACAAACAGAAGTATCCATCCATGGAGACTCAACAGACACACACACACACACACACACACACACACACACACACACACACACACACACACACACACACACACACACACACACACACACACACACACACACACACACACACTGATCATTACCCTTCTGTCCTGTCACAGACACTTAGAGAAACACAAAGACGGAGACCTGAACAAAAATCCTGAGATGAGTTTGCCGCCTGTCACCACTGTGTGTGTGTGTATGTGTGCGTGCGTGCGTGCGTGCGTGTGTGCGTG